AATTTGTTTGAAACAATGATTTATGCTTTAGAGTTATTACCACATCTTTAAACTTGCAGATATGTAATAACTCACCAATATGAAACATTCTTGTTGAAGCCAAAATATTTCCAGGTTCTCAAACATGTTTAGAGCTTCTTGACATGCAACTTTTTGTATTTCCGTACTATCATCCTCAGAATTATATCCTTCATCTTCTTGTCTAATTGCAATGTTGGTTTTTTTAGTTAAAGTATAAATGACTTGTTGTTCATTTGGATGATTGAGGAAGACATTAATATCCATTCGATTAGTGCATATTTTCCCTCTACACCACTTGTACTAAGGATAACTAAGTCAAAACAATAATTTTTGTAACTATGATCTCTATTAAGTTATAACGTCCTTATAATAATAAAATTGTTTGATCTCACTATTATGACTATAGAAAAGTTCTATTGTATTTTCAAATGATTATATGCTTGATGGGTATTTTCTAAGAAATAATTTTAATCAATTAATTATTTCATTGTCGAGAAAAATCTTCTCTAATTAAAACTAGATATTGACTATGTACTAACAATCAATAATACTATACTTACAAATATTTCTATACAAAGTGATGTGACAAAAAAAAAAATGAAAGAGTGAAACAAAAAGTCAAACTCACTATATTCACAATTCCATTCATTTTTTAGCACATCACTTTATACAGAGATCTTTATAGGATTTCTTTATAGAGTAGTATTAGAGCATCTCCAATGGTACTCTTTATTTTAAAGAGCATTTTTCATATAAATAATGAGCATCTTTATTGATTTTTAAATATAAAGAACAAATTTTTTATTCAAATCCAATACACTCTTTAAATTTTAGGAGAGATAATATGTTTTTTCAAGAAAGAAACTTAATAGGAGAGATAAATCATAAATAAAATGCATAGAAACTTGCAATTTATTATTTAAAATTAGGATAGAGAATAAAATTTGACTCTCTAAATGTGGAGAGTTAAACTCACTCTTTAATTTATATTTAAAGAATAAAAGTCTGTTAGACTCTTGTTTCTATAGATAAACTCTTAATAATAAAGAGTTTAGGTCATATAAATAGTCCTTTGAAGATGCTCTTATTCACTAACAATAGCTAACATGATGTTTCCTTTCCTATTCAATTTGAGAGTATTAAATCTTGACCCGATCATACTCTAGTCAACTCACGTTATTCTATTACAGATCTAGAATGCCACAATCCACGCTTGTAATTTTCAAAATTAATACAACAAAACAAATATAAAATTTTTAATACGGTAATAATACAGCAACAAAAGCTAAATTTCAGGTAATTGATTACCAATAATGCTACGGACATCATGACTGTGCATCGAATTTTTACATCGAATTACGTGTCATCACACTCAGACCAGCCACATATCACTTTAACAAATATTTTGCAAGTGAACAGCCGTTCATCAACTATGGATGACTGTTCACTGTTATTGGACAGACGTCTATCAAAGGCCCCGCCCGTCCATGCAAAATGAACGATGGACTCCTGTCCATATTATATGGACGAGAGTCCATTTACTGTCCATATTCAATGGACGGGGGTCTATACTAATGGACGGGCGAACACCTTTAATGGACGCCCGTCCATGTTCGCCCGTCCAAACTATAAATTAAAAACAAAATTAATGAATGCTCATTTAAATGAATGGATGCTCGTTTAAATGTTATGGACGGGCATCCCTTAATAATGGATGGGAGTCCACCGTTATTAGACACCCGTCCAAACTTTTAATTTAAAAAAAAATTATGCTCAACTTAATGGATGGGAATCCATCTTGAGTGGATGCCTGTCCACTCAAGGTGCAGAAATTTGTATTCCCAAACCTGGAAGTATTCCTAAACCTGTAAAGAGTCATTCTTGAAGGCTCCATATGCCATTCACTGAAATCAAGGCTTTTCTCTAATTCATCTAACACTGCTCTTCCTCATGCATGAATACATAAATGTTCGAAAGCCAACTTGAAATCAGGAATGTATGACTTAATCTTCATTTTAAAAAGTTTTTCAACGACTAAAGTTGCAACGAATAGAAGTTGCTATGACATTGGATTTTTTGTGAATTAAACAAGGAGGAGAGAAATTACAAGTAGTTGAAAAGCAGAGCATATAATTGAAGTATTGAACTGAGTTTACATTACAGGGCTTTTTATGATCTTTTTCTGCAACTGAGAAGCCTAACACAAAGAGCAACACTTTCATTCAGGAAACCAAATCTAATACATAGATTAGGCTCACTCATCAACTCAACCCAAAAGCCCTTTCAAGTGCTCCATTTGTACTGCTGCTCATACACTACACAGCACAAACTTCAACAACAACATTTCACTTTTTTCCATTGCACTCCCTTCTGTAATTAATTATTTCCGACGACTAGCAATCTCCATGGGCCCTGCTTGTCTTGCTAGCTGAATAACATCAAATTTTATCAGTTAAAAACACATAATTTACTTTTTCTGGGTAAAAACAACACAAACAGGGTTCAGCTCAGCCACCTGAAAATAAGCTTCTAGTTTCTTCTTCAGTGTTGCATTTTCCTTCTTCAGTTGTTGGAAAGTCCTCCTACTTCTGCAAACCGCAAACACACAGGTAAAAAAACTGTCAATTTCTAGCAGTGTCAGGTGATTAATATTAATAATAATAATTAAACATTTATAACATCTATCATCTGCACCTCTGTGGGTGCGAAGGGTGTGAAGTAGTTGATACTTGAAGCGATTGCGATCCGATGATCGGTTGGATAGGAGGATGGTAGAACCACCCAGTGAGAAGGATTTAGTCAGTCATGAATGCATCTACATGAAAGGAATAAATGAAACATGACAACTGCTCATTAGTTAAGTAGTGTTATAAGATAGTAGACAATCTAACATTTGGGAGTCAAGAGATGTTAGAAAGAGAAGGCACTCAAAAAGAAACTGATTACAAATTTCTGCACCTTGAGTGGACGGATGGACTCCTGTCCATTAACCGTCCATTATTAAGGGACACCCGTTCAAAAAATTTGAACGGCGTCCATTAAGTTGAGCATAATTTTTTTTAAATTTAAAGTTTGGACGGGCATCCAATAACGGTGGACGTTTGTCCATTATTAAGGGATGTCCGTTCATAACATTTAAACAGGCGTTCATTAATTTTGTTTTTAATTTACAATTGCAGCATGATGGACTCAGATTCCTCTGCAACTTCCTTCTGCGGATAAATTCGATTCCCTTGGCGCCCTTAGTGCTTGCTTTGCATATTTACTGCTTTCATTTATCAAAGAATCTGTAACCATGCTTATTCTCATTGTTTCATTAATTTATTTATTCATTAAAATAAGGATTCTGTATCAATGAATACTTAACAAATAACATGCTGTATTCATCATGTATATTAATGTGATTTAGAATTTAATAAAGGACTCCGCTCTTTAATTTCTTAGTTTTTTTCGCTCAACATATGAATCAGTCAGTATTTTATCTCTACCAAGGGAAATTCTAATCCAATCCATTCAATATTTGGCTATGAATTCCATAAGGAATTACATGATTGTTTCCTGTGAATAATCGCAGAGCATATGAATTATTGAAAATTCTGAGAAAAACACATTAAATAAACCTGCTCTTACGGCGCACACCACAAGTTTGTTACAACTTTCCTCCTCTTTATCTCCCCCCCTTACGTCTTCTTTACTTCGCCGTTTTCCTTCAGAATTTCTCAACATGGAATGTCTTACCTCTTTACTTCGGGTTACCACCATTCCACCGTTACTCCTCTCTCTGGTATTTTACCTCCAATCCCTGAAATTTTCCTCTCAAATTTATAATCTTTCTGTTACTTGAAACTGATTAACTTCTTTGACTGGGTCATCCTGTAATGGTAATTAAGTATTATTAATGATCATGGATGAGGATTCTGTTAATTTTTTCATATTGAGGATTTAATTTACAAGTGCCAGCTGGTTTCAGGACCTCTGGAAGGCAGAAACGTCCTTAGTTGGCATTTTATTTCTCACCTTCATGCTTATAACACGTTTTATTTATTATTTATTGGATACGTGAATTTGCTTGTTTGCTTAATAACATAAATAGATTTAACAACCGACTCCCATCTTGTTTATTTCTGGTTATTTGATGCGCTTGTGTGAGAATCAAAATGTAATGGTTTTTCTTAGGCAGATTTTGAAGTGTTGATTGTTATATTTGCATTGATCTGAGTTCCGTGGCTTAGATGGGATCTAGTTGCTCATAGGCTTGATGCTATTACTTTAGTTCTGATAGTTTGTAATCTTGAATTTCAATTACATTCGAGTGCAGACGATTGGATCCCGCCACTGGCACGAGTTTGTATCCATCTCACCTATGTAAAATATTCACCGGTTCGTGCCAAGATTAATTTTTTTTCTTTAAGTTGTAAGATTTTCAATTGAGAAGACTTGTGGTATTGTAAATTTTTGCATGCAGGTGAGGCATCTCAGGGTATTCACAATGTAGCCGCGGAAAAGAACCATGATGCTTACAAGTCTTGTGATTATTTTGATGCACAGCTTTCCCAAGACGGGGAAGCAGGTAATCACCACTTAAATTGTTGTTTCATTATCAATTTAGCTCCTCTGATCTTGTCAAATGTTTTTCATTAATAAAAACTAGAAAGTTTTTCAAATGATGTTCTGTTAGGACCTTGAGAATTCGTGCGTTTGTTTTGTTTCAGCAAGAAGATAATCATTATCAATTATTAGTGTTTGTACATTGTACAATGCTTTAGTGAAAAAAATGATTTGGGCATTCGGTGTATAATACAGGTGGAGATTGCACAAGGATGTTCATGAAGTTGACTTCTAAGAAAATTGAGTTGGTCATCACTTCCCCTTTATAAGGTGAACTAGATTCCTTCATACTGTTCGTCATTGTTTATGCGTTCTTGCATTTTAGGTTATGACTCCATAATTTGAATAGCAGGGCTATGCAAACAGCATAGGAGTCTTGGTGGTGAAGGGTATGTAGATGGGACAGATGCACCTCACTTGATGGTGGAAAAAGCAGGGAACAGTGATCGTTCTGCAATCTCAAGTCTAAATTGCCCACCATTATTGCAGTTAGCTTTGCCGAGAACGTTTGGTATGTAATTACATAACAAGGCTAGTCAGACAGAATATAACTTCCTTCTCAAAGATTTCATATTCTGTTCACCTTAAATAAAGGAAAAAAAAAGAAAAAAGGAAACGGAGAGAGAGAGAGAGAGAGGAGAAATGAAAAAACGAACTCTTTATTTGGTAAAAGAGCTTTTAGTGTAAAGTAATTTACCATTGAAAGACGAATTTCTTATACGTGCCATTATGCATTTGACAATAAATTAGGTTCTGGGCTAGCAGTTATAATATAATGTATCAATGACTTGGCGCTCTGTCAACCTAAGTTGTTGTATTAGCTTTTTAAATATATTCTGAATTCATGAACGCCTCCAAAATCTAGATTGGTATGCCTAATAACATATTGTGTCATCAAGGAAGATTGGACTAAGTTTCTAATTCATTCCAATTTTTGTCAAGGTTTCGCGTATAACATAAAATGGATTAAATGTTTCAGGGCATGGCCTAGGTCCTTGGTTTAGACAGCAAACAAGGCTGACACCAGATCCACTTTCCACTTGATTGATCATTGTGAGGGTTTTAACTTTTAAGATAGTGCAAACACTTCTACTCAAGTGAAATGTGGAGCACCGTTGGTTTCCAGGGCTCTTGTGATTTCAAATCTAAATTTACCAGGCCTGTTTTTCAAATCTTATAGGAATGAGAAATATTTAAGAACAAATTTTGATATTAGGGTTCTATTTTGTTGATAGTATTTTTTTTTTTATATAAATTAAAAAAAAAAAATTTTCTCTAAATTTGTGTGTTCCACTTTTCATGTTTGTTTCTTTACTTCAGGGAGTTATCCTTGTGATAAGAGAAGAAGCATCAACGAGTATCGAGCTCTTTTTCCGCTATTGATTTTTCACTGGCAAGTAATTTATTGTGATTGGCTTTTGTTTGTGGATTAGCTGTTATTAATGCAATACTTTTGAACTGTTGATCATGGTTTGGAATCCAATTTCACTTAGTGCGAACAACGGCTTATTTCACCTTTTTCTTTTTTCCATTTTTATTCAGATAGAAAATGATGATGACATTTTGTGGACGGCTGACACTAGGAGACGCGATGAACTGTTGCAGAGAGGGGAATGAAGTTTATAACTGGTGATTCCCATTTACCTCTATTCAAAAGTTTTGTTTTCATTACACAAGTACAGATAAGATAGAAAGTTATATAATGACTGTGGAATAGTGTGATTGCAGTCGCTAGGGATCTGTTTTAGTGAGGTCTATCATAGGGTTAAACTTTTCATGCTCTTGTCTATGGTTTTACAGAGACGAGCTTTGAGATGTTTTCCGAGTAGTGGTTATGTTGTTGTCCTATGTAATATGATTTCCATTGAGTTTTAGATTCCATACATGGCACTTTGATGTTGCACTTATGCTTTATCTTCATTTTGATTCGAACTGTAACAATTGATCATGTAATAATCACTTGTGCTATAAATTTCATTAAGAAAAAAGGAATTTTGGATGCTTCATTCTACTACTGGAACAGTAAATGATCCCCTTAAAATTGATCCAGACTTGAAATGTTTCTCTGATTTTCCCCTTTGAATAGATGCATATGGCATCTAACTCTATGGCAGAAGAGGCGTCAATTTAATCCTGACTATTTCTTTTGTTTCCCATTAATCAATTGATCCAGGCTGTGGACTCGAAAAGAGAAGGGATCGCAGTTGTTACTCACAGTGCATTCTTATATCATACCCTAAGTGCATTTGGAAATGATTGTAACAGTAAGTGTTGCCTCATATTTTCAATGTCAGTTATGGTGTATAGCTTTAACGTGTTTAGTAGTCCTCGTTTAGAAATTAAATTAAAGATATTTAGAGATGGTAGAGATTTGTGTTCACTGTTCAATTTGCTACTTGTTGCCTTCTGACATCTTTCTCTTCAATTCTACTCCTTTATGCCATTTTGCAAATTCTTTAAGTGTTGGATCATTCTTAAGTCTGAAACTGAAAATGTTTTCTTGGCTTTAATCTTACCTGTTCTTGATGCAGTTCTGTCTAGTGCCTCATTTATAGTTATTTTATTGTGTGTAAACTTCAGTCCTGGATACAAAAATTGATAATTTTGAATTACCCAAAAGTTCCAATTTCTATCAATCTATTGTACTCATCTGAGATACAGTTTTTCCCTTAAATTATAACAGTGGGTAGTAATAACTAACTATACTTTGGATTCAACATGGATACATGCTAATATGCTTTGCAATTTTTTGCTGCAGATTGATAATTGTGAGCGTCGCTCAATGGTTATTGTTGACAGAAGGTGGAGCAATATTAGATTAGAATAGAACTCAAGAGAGAACAATGTTTCCTGGCGTAGCCACAATGTGACTATTTCAATTGATTCTTTCTCTTTTTGTACCGCAGTATGTTGGGTTCAGATTCTGCGACAACAAACTTCCCTGGAAATATTCCCAGTGGTCTCGATCTACCCAGTGATGTTGCCGCTGAGTAGCATCGGGATAAATTAGCGACCAACTAATTATAGCCTGGGTTCCATGATCGAACAGTTGGTATAAAATAATTGCAGAAGTGGTTCACTGAGAGACTTGTACCTTACAGCAAAAAATTTGTATCAAAATATTCATGTGCTTGCTGTTATTGTAGACAATGTTAGGATTGTTTATTGGTGTAGACAAAGATGTGAAAGCCGTAGTAGACTTGTAGGCGCCAATTCATTTTAAGATGAAGTGAAGAACGAAATCGATTCATATGTTAAACTCAAGAATGTTTTATCTTTCAATGATTGTTGGCTCTTGCAAAAATATAATTTACATGAAACTTGGAGTCTCAATTCAATGATGAGTCATCTCAATTGCTGGTATCACAGTTAGCAACTAATGATGCCTTGTGCTGGAACCGGAACTTCTCGCTAAATTAATCTTATAATGACTGACTAATTTAGAATTATGATTCACAAAAGGAAATGGATAAATCTGAATCCTTTGTCAAGGAAAAAGAGAGACAAAATGTAGTTAATCATGTGGGGGATGATTAAAGAGGCTGACAGAATCGATGAAGGATCACCGATCTGTTTTTTTAATTAATATTGATTTAAAAAGAAAAACGTTTTATAATCTTTTTGCATGCAGGATCTATACACACACACACCCCTTATTTTCCTTTCATTTTCATGTAAATATCATTGTGAGAATAGAGCAAAGGCTTAGTTTGTAAACATCACTGTAGGGGTGTAAAGTGTAAACGAGCTGAGCTGAGCTGAGCCGAGCCGAGCTTTGTGCTAATCGAGCTTGACTCATTTGCTATAGTATCAAGCTCGAGCTAGGCGAGCTCGACATTGAGAAAATTCGAGTTCGAGCTCACAAAAAAACTCTTCAATTCTCCACTTTTTCACTTTCCCAATCAAGCTTCTTGAGTTCGAGCTGAAACTTGGCGAGCTCGAACTTGACTCAACATTGTAGCTGAGCCGAGCTCAAGCGGCTCAGCTCAACCGGCACCCCTACCATTGGGTGGCCATGTAAAAGAGCAATAAATAATCTAACATGATTTTTTAAATTCGAATCCTCTTGATGGTAAAAGAGCAAGAGGAGTTAATAGAGGTAGTCATTGAAATTCTTATCTAGCCGATAGTTCTAGGGTCCCGAGAGATTAATTGAGGTGAGAGCAAGCTACTCCGAACACTTTCGATATTAAAAAAATAATAATAATAAATAAATAAATAAAAGGTTTGGTTGGTGAAAGATGTACCCGTTGAAAATTTCAGACATTCTGTTTCTAAATGCACACAAGTCAAAGGGTCAAAGGATGACTCACTTGACTTCATGATATTGAAATTACCATCGAATTTTGCTTCTCAGTCGTGGGCCCAAACCCATTTTCTGACCGAGTAAAGGCAGCCCAACTTATAAAATATGTTCCATTAATTTCCTCCACCTATAATATATTAAAAATGGTCCGTAGATGAATCCACACTAAAGGCTCATTTCTTGAATTTAGTCGGCCTTCTGTGTTGTTGGCTTGTTGTTGATACTTAGCATTATGACGAAGAATCTTCTCTCGAACTCTTCATGAAGCTTCTTGATCTGTTTGGCACACCTATCAACATCAACACTGAATTCACCAGTGTGGGTAATGGCGGAAGATCTAAAGGGCTAAGAGGACGTTTGCCATATATGACTTCAAAGGACACTTTCCTGTGTTTGGCTTAAGAACTATTGTAAGAGAATTCTGATTATGCTAATACAAGATCCCATTGGCGAATATGTTTCCCTACAAAGTTGCAATAGATTTCCCAAACTTCTGTTGACTACTTCGTTTGACCACGGTCTGAGGGTGGCTGGCTAAGCTGAATTGAAGTGCGGTTCCCATTTTTCTCCATAAAGTCTGCCATAAATGACTCATGAACTTGACATCTTGATCTGAGGTGACGGTCTTGGAATTCATGAAGATGCAAATCTCTATGAAGTATAAATCAGCAATGTGAGAAGATCATCGTTTGTGGACATGACACAAAATGGGCCATTTTAGAAAGCCTGTTGACGACTACATCATAACGTCTTTTGCCTTTGTGTCCTTGGCAAACCCACAACAAATCCATGCTCACATCTTCCCAAGGAGCTGTGGAATGGGTAAGGGTTTATATGCACCAGTATTTTGATTTCCAAGCTTGGCAATGTGGCAAATGTGACACTTTCGGATGTGGCGGATAGCATCTCGTTCCATCTTGGGCCAAAAATTTTTCTTCACAAGAGCTAAGTTTTGTCTCTACCAAAGTGCCCAGCTCATCTGCCATTATGAGCTTCCCAAAGGATAGACTGACGTAGAGAACACTGGGGAATGCATAATGGTTGCCTTGAAAAGATACCCATCTTGATGATGAAATTGCTTGTAAGGCTGCAAAGAACTAGACTTCAGATGTTACCAAAGTCAAGATCTTCTTCATATAATTCTTTCACAACTCAAAACCAAAAACCTTCAATTGTAGGGTGGAAAGTAAACATGACGACAACTTAAGGCTTCGGTACCTTATTTTGTACACCTGATTTGTGTTTCAGAAGAATGGAAATGCTTGAAGAACTCATCCAATCTGCATGATGACAGTTGAGTTTCTGTTAGGAGTTGAGATGCTTGAGGGCTTCATGATTGGATATAAGATGAATTCTTTTGACGCAAGTAGTGGCTCTATGGTTCAAGGCCTGAACAATGCGTAAAATCTTTTCATAGGTAGAGTACTTCAACTTGTATCATAAGTTTCTCACTGAAGAATGCAATTGGTGCCCTCTTAAGAAAGTACAACACAATACCAACATTGAGGCATCGCAATCAGCTTCAAACACTAGGTCGAAGTTAGGTAGGGAAAGCATAGGAGCCTTAATGAGCCTTTCTTTGAATCCTCAAAGCTCGTTGTGCTCTGGCATTCCATGTAAAACTATCTCTTGAGGCATTCAATGAGTGGGGCAACAATAGAGCTAAAATTTCTTAAAAAACACCGATAAAAAGAGGCAACCCATGAAAGCTTTGCACATCATGAAGGGTTTTCGAAGTGGGCCAACTGATAGCAGCTTCAACTTTGCTCTGGTTCACTTCAATTCCTTGGATGGAAACAACATACCCCAGAAAGACAACTTTGTTTGTTAAAAACTCTCATTCTTCAGTTGACAAATAGTTTTTGCTTCCAAGCACTTCAAGGATTTATCGTAAATGCTCCAGATGGTCTTCAAGGTTTGGCTATATACCAAAATATCACAAAATATACCACAATAAATACCAATGAAGGGCGAAAAAACCTGATTCATGAGGTGCATAAAGATGCTGAGTGCATTGGAGAGGCCAAAGGCAGACTGGCTATTTGTATAGCCCATTGCGAGTTTTGAATGCAGTCTTCCATTCATCCCCAACCCGCATTCAAATTTGATGATAACCACTTCGTATTTATGTTTTGGAAAAAAACAGTGGCTTTATGCAACTGATCCAGCAAGTCATCAAGCAGAGGAAGGGGGGAAACGTACTTGATAGTAATTTTGTTACAACACAACTATTGATGCACATACGCCAAGTCCCATCTTTTTGGAATAGTAAAGCAGGGATTGCACATGGATGGACACTTTCTTTACTAGGCCTTTCTCTAAAACTGCTTAACTTGGCGTTGTAGCTCTTCATGTTCTTTAGGATTCATGCAGTATGCTAGTTTATTGGAATGACAGAGCGAAATGAAATCAATAGCATGTTGAATATCTCGTGTTGGTGGCAACCCAGGACGTATCTCATCCGGCAAACCTCAGAAATTTTGAAGTAAGTGCTTGATTCCTTGGGCAAGGCGAGAGACACTTCATTTCTTCGCACAATAGTAACAACACACATTGGTTATTCCTGACGACAGCCTCAAGACCAGATCTCGTGATAAATGCTATAGGCTCATATGGTTTCTTCAAACGATTTTCTGTCTCTAGGGGTCAACATTACCGTTACCCCATCCTTTTTGAAAGAATACGTGTTCTTGTACATCATGAAGAGTTGATGATCATACTGCCATGGGCATCCAATAATAAGTGGCAAGCATCCATTGGAACACACACACCAAACTTCATCTTGATACTTATCCCCGATGGAAAATTGAACACAACAATGCTGGACACCTTGACTTCGTTTCCTTTCCTCAACCATTGCAGTTATAAGGATGAGGATGTGCTACGATTGGGAGCTTTAATTTCTCTACCATATAATTGGCAATAACATTTTCACAGGTACCTCCGTCAATAAGACGTTACCAACTGTAAGAATTCATGCTTAGAAGGTGTAAAATTAGTGTAAACATGGTAAAAGGTCATATGACATGTTATTGAAACTAAAGGGTAAAATTATTACCTTTTGCTTTACAACTCTTGTACTTGAAAAGGAGTTCAAGATCTTCAACAATTTGATGAAAACTCTCAAAGTAAAGTCCACCACAAGATGAAGAAAAGAGAGTCCGCATGAGAGCTCAAGAGAGAGATTTTCAGTCAATGAAAAATTATATTAAATTTGGGAATATCACTTATTTGTACAAGGACCATTTTGCTAATTTGAAATTGTTCTCAAGTCCTTGATGAATATGAATCCTATTAACATCTATACAAATTCAATATTATTTTCAAGTCCTTGAAATAATTTCAATTAATATTAACTCAATATTAAATCATTATGATCCTAAGTCCTTGAAACAATTTAATTTAATATTAACTCTTAATTAAATCCTTGATTTAACAAATTATATCAAGACTATAAAATAATCCCGTTTAAATTTAATACATTATTAAATCCATTCAATAATTATTTTAGTCCATCATTGAATCTAATCAATAATGACCAAATTACCTTATTACCGTTGGTAAGTGCTAGCTTCCATGAGTACATTTCTACTAATACTAAAATTGGATGCACACGTTTACATCGAACATCATTAACCTTAACGATATTATTACTTCTCTTCTCATACTTGGTTTTTAGGTGTAACCACTAGGTTCACTGTAACCTAGCCGTGGGCTCGATATCACAATCTGATGTTTCATCATAATTCTTATGATCGAAACTCTCACCAATCATGGTACATCTAATAATGCTCCACAACCCCTAAGCCACATGAAGTTAAACTCCAATGAACCTTTTTTTTCTCGATCGTACGTTTTATGTAGTAAAATCCCTTCGTGTCTAATCCCGATTAAGTATAGGTTCATGGTATGTCAAACCCTTAACTTTATCTTTCTCCGAATTGTCAATCAATACAATGGAACGTGTCATCATGAAACTTCTTTTTTGACTATTTTGTACTTCGGCCAAATATTTCATTGTTCTATGTTTATTGACATTCGTCTGGGAACTCGGGACCAACCACGAGTCACGGATCCCATCGACCATCATTTGTCCTTGCACATGAATAACAATGACCAAACTGGCTTCTATACAAAACATGACTAGTCTCGTGTATATACACCATATATCATATACATCCTATGTCGAGTCCAACCTGATGTCTCAAGTCTAAGGATTAGTGGTACACTAGTACGATTCACGATGTATCATTGACCACATTCTAAATGTCCATGTGATTCATCGTAATCAATCTATTCGATAAACAGTTCACTAACTGTTTGTCCATGCTAATGCCCTAGTGATATACCTCTTATAAACACCCCACACTAATACCACAATGATATCAATAGAGGTATTCAGCATGCCTACTATGCAATGTTATTACCCAATTAAGATTACTTACGTAGGGAATGCTTCGATGATTGATCTTCTAAAGATTGTATCATACGGACATTCACATGCATATAATAGTATAAATGAGCAGTAAACAACATGTGAAATTAGAACTCTTTCTTCCATTCTCAAAAGAGTATTTACAAGATATAATGCCTTGAAACCGCAACACGATTGTGTTCACGGGCATACCCTAACACCAACCTTCCTTGGATGTGACCTTGTATGGAAAATATTGGATGAGAAGCCAACTTTCGTCTTCGGTTATCATAACGGTGCTAAGATTGTGACGTACCATAAGAGTTCTCATTATCAGCAGGTACTGCTTCTATTCTATCCTATCAAGCATTCTTCTTCACCCATTGTATCCTTCTCAGCATGATCTTCAATAACTCTTCCTCCAAAAGTAAAATTCTTCGATTTGGACAACAGAAGCGATATGCCTGAAGCCTTGGCACTTGAAACATTTTCTTGAAGCGACATAGGAGTGCGACTAGAACCACCCTCTTCATTTCTATAAGGAGGCTTGAAGGAGTTTACTTTAGGATTTGGAACGGGTGCTAAGCTTTGTTTCCCACGGCTTGCTGTATTCCCCCTCTATTTCGTGGAATTTATAGGTTCTTCCATGCCCGCTGCTTCTCAACCTTAATCGCCAACTGGTAACATCAATCAAACTCCGTATGGTTGTAATTGTACGACATCTGCAATCTCTACATTAAAACCTCCCAGATAACAAGTGACAGTTTGTTGTTCCAATTCATGGATATCACACTTTAGAAGAAGTTGCTCAAACTCAATCGTATACTCTTCTACCGACATGGTTCTGTCTAAATTAGAAATTGAAGAAAAGTGCCTGCCATTATATTTGAGTTTTGATGCATCTTCTCCCATGATCTGATCTTCTGACGGCCTTCTCTTTTTCGTTGCTGTTTCAGATTCTTCCACCATATAGATGCATATTTCTTCAATTTATTACAACAGTTTCACCACACTTTCTATAGGAACAATTTGAAGCTCAAAAATTATTTCTATCGTGTGTAACCAGTCAATAAAATCATCTGGTTGAAGTCTTCTCTCAAACTCAAGAATGTCTACTCTGAAGCTTGAAATCCCAATATCACTATCTCGACCCCTCGGATGGAACCTAGGATATTCATTCGAGATAAAGAGTCTTCCCAATGGATTGGTGCCCTCACCTGCTGCTGTTGGAGCTATTGCCGATTTCATCATCTTGATCTCGTGTGATTCCCCATCTTGTGAGTTGTTCTTGTAATTCTCTGATTTGGTTTCGTAATTCCTCAATTTCAACATCTCGAATAGTTCTTGATGATTTTGAGGTTTTGGTGACATTTTGTGGTAGGGGTGATAAGGTATAAAATCAAATAATTCATAGGAACTTGATATAGTAGTAAGTGTACCATGGTTCAATATGCACCAGGAAAATTCCTAGGAAGTGGAGGGGTCACAAATGGTCCCACTTAAAACCCACTTTCCTTAGACTTTATTGTCTATTGACCGAATTTTCTTAGACATGCATATGAATTAAGTCTCAATTCAAGATGGGTATTTCATTGCTAGTATCATAATTTATTTATTTATTTTTGGTAATTGGGTTGTTCGGACCAATTTGCGTGTACTTAACTAATCTTCGAAGTCTATTGAACACCTTACAAACATAAAAAATTAGGTAGTCACAATGTAATTGGGGTAGGTGATCCCAAGGGTTGAAGCACGAACTCGAGGAAAGAACAAACCTCTGACCATCGGGTCAATCCTTGGGATAAAAAAAAAAAAAAAAACACCCGATATATATACCCACACTTATGTGGGCGATGGTTAAAGAGGTTGACAACATCCATGAGGATCAACTATTTGTTTTTTAATAATATTGAGTATAATATGTATGTCTGGTTTCTAACGAAAAGAATATAATTTTAAAAAGAAAAACATTTTATTATCTCTTTGCATGCTGGATCTATATACACAGTGGCGGACCCGGATTTTTACCCAGGGGGGGCCTCCGTGGCTCACCATTGTTGTTCAAACAACTAGTGAAATTTTAAAAAAATCAACAAACTTAAGCAAAGAAATAATATAATATCAATAATGAAAGAAAATAATGCAAAACACAATAACTTTACCTTTGAATAATTTATGAGAAGCAAAACCTTGAGCAATTATATTGAAATAACATTAATTTCACGAGGAAAAACAATAAATTTTTATGAAGAAAACCTCTTTAATTAAAGAGAGCAAAACACCATGGGAATCTAAACTTCACTTCAATCTAATATAATTAAAAGATTTACAACAATCACAATCCACCAAAATGTTCTATACAAATTTCTTATTTCTCCTCTTTATTTTTTTATTTTTTTTTTCTTTCAAAGATTTAATTAATTTCATGACTTTGATCAGGTCTAACCTAAGCTAAAGTCAACAAAACTTCAATTAAGTCAACATTGTCTTGATTTTTAATATGAATTAATAAAAAAAGAGAAAATTTTCTAGTATAAACATAAGAATAACTCAAATTTTAATAATTTTGAGCAGCTAAACGGTGTCGTTGACATGTTAGAAGTGGTAGATGAAGGGCAAAAATAACGTTAGTAAAATAATTAAGGTTTAATTTGGGAAAAGATGAACGTCTAAACACAAAATACAAAACAAACTCACAAGATCCATGCATTTTTCCATCAAATTAGAATAAAAAATCTCCAAAAAATAAACATGATTCAACCCAAAATAACTAAAATGAAATGAGCAATACACATATCTAAAATTGAGAAAACGGAAAACGAAGCAATTATAGCACCTGATGAGTGAAAGTTTCAACAATTTAATTTTCAAAAGTTTTAGAACGATAAACATTGAGAAAGTGAAAGAGAGAATGAGAAAATAAAGAATTTTAGGGATAAAATCATAAAAAAAAATGGAGTAAAAGAGTGAAGAGAATTAAATTTTTAATATGATGTAAGCGTGGATATTATTTAATAACAATTGTTAATGAGTTTGGATATATGTATAATTTCTCATTTTTTTTTTTTTTAATTTGAAGATAAACCTATATATATATATATATATTGAATTTTTTTATGGGGTCATATAAATATTTTTTTTTCAAAATGTGAGGGCAGGCTGTCGCTACTCTCCAAGGGCTGGGTCCGCGTCCTGTATATACACACACCTTATTTCCTTCATTAAATGAAATATCAAGGTTTGGTGCCAAGCATTATTGGGTGGACATGTAAAAGAGTAAGAAAGATGAACCTGGTCTCTCAAATTCGAGTCATTTGATGGTAAAGAGCAAGAAGAGTTAATAGGGATAGCATTGGATCTTATTTGATCGATAGTTTTAGAGTCTAAAAATTAGTGAGATACGCGGGAAACTGATCCAAAACCCTGGTTAATTAAAAAAAAAAAAAAAAAGTTCGTGAAAGATGTACCCATTGAAAATTTCAGACATCTTGGCTGTTGGTTCACTTTTTACACTTTTGAAAAAGTTTTTAGAAAAAAGTTAAAAAAAGTTGAATTGGGCGGGTATTACGATGTAGGATTTGAAAAAAATAAAATACCCCTATATTTGTTATTTACTAAACACCCCCCTATGTTTGTTTTTACTAAACACCCTTATAATAAAACATTAAAAGTTAACAAAAACCCCCAACCCACCCATTAAATATGGACAGCTGGCCACTACCACCGGAGGGTGGCCGGAGTCATCGTACGGCGCATGACCTGCTGGATGTTGCGGTCGTACACCGATATGGCCTTTTTCGGCCAGATCCACGGTGGATCTGGCGGCCGTATTTGCTCGTCAACGACGACCAAAGATACAGCCGTCGTTGATGGTCAACGACGACCATGTGTTGGCCGTCGTTGATGACTGACTACAGCCAAAGCTCTGACCGTCAACGACCAGATCTTTGGCCTTCGATCTGGCTTTTCTGGCCAGATCTATCGTGGATCTGGCCGGAAAAGGCTAGATCGGTGTACTACAGCCAGATTCAGCTGGTAGTGTGCCATTATACCAAATTCTGACCATTTTCGATGGTGGTGGTTGAAATCGGTAAATATAGGTTACTGGGGTGTTTTTGCAATTTCTAAAAAAATATTAGGGGTATTTAATTAAATTACAAATTTAAGGGGTTTAAAAAGTTGAATAATATTGAATAATATGTGAGTTTTACAATTTATAATTAACTTTATTGGGAATACTATAGTAGTATTTCAAATGGAGCCAAACGAACCCTTGTTTCTAATGCATACAAGTTTTTTTTTTTTGGCTATTTTTATTCAGATAGAAAACGATGATGACATTTTGTGGATGGCTGACACTAGAGAGACGAACGAACATGTTGCAAAGAGGGGAATGGAGTTCATAAACTGGTGACTTCCCATATACCTCTATTCAAAATTTTTTTTTTTTTCATCTACATAAGTACATGATAAAGATAGAAAGTTTATATAATGACTATGGAATAGTGTGATTGCAGTCGCTAGGATGCCATCTGTTTAGTGAGGTCTATCATAGGGTTTAAACTTTTCGTGCTATTGTCTATGGTTTTACAGAGACGGAAGGCTTTGAGATGTTTTCCAGAGTAGTGGTTATGTTGTTGTCCCATGTAAATGATGATTTCCATTGAGTTTTAAATTCCATACATGGCACTTTGATGTGTGCACTTATGTTTTATCTTCATTTTGATTCGAACTGTGACAACTGATCATGTAATAATCACTTGTGCTATAAATTTCATTAGAAAAAAGGAATTTTGATGACTTCATTCCACTATTGGAACAGTAAATGATCCCCTTTAAATTGATCCAGACTTGAAATGTTTCTATGATTTTCCCCGAGTATGTGTTTCACCTTTGAATAAGATGCACATGGACATGTAATTCTATGGCAGAAGAAGCGTCAATTTAATCCTGACTATTTCTTTTGTTTTCCCGTTAATCAATTGATCCAGGCTGTGGACTCGAAAAGAGAAGGAGATCGCAGTTGTTACTCACAGTGGATTCTTATATCATACCCTAAGTGCATTTGGAACTGATTGTCATCCATCTATAAAGGATGGAATACGTAAACAGTAAGTGTTGCCTCATATTTTTCAATGTCAATTATTGGTGTATAGCTTTAACGTGTTTACCAGATCCTCGTTAGAAATTAAATTAAAGATATTTAGAGATGGTAGAGATTTGTGTTCACTGTTCAATTTTAGCTACTTTTTACTTTTTGACATCCTTCTCTGCTTCAAATTCTACTCCTTTATGCCATGTTGCATATTCTTTCAAGTGTTGGATCATTTCTTAAGACTAGAAGCTGAAAATAGTTTTCTTTGTTTTAATTCTTTACCTGTTCTGGATTCAATTCTGTCTAGTTCCTCATTTATAGTTATTTAATTCTGTGTAAATCTTCAGTCCTGGATACAAAAATTTGGTAATTTTGAATTACCCAAAAGTTCCAATTTCTATCAATCTATATTGTACTCATCTGAGATACAGTTTTTCCCTTAAATTGTTAACAGTGGGTAGTAAATAACTATACGTTGGATCATGGATAACATGCTAATATGCTTTTCAATTTGTTGCTGCAGCTTTGCTAATTGTGAGCTTCGCTCAATGGTTATTGTTGACAGAAGGTGAGCATTATTAGATTAGAATAGAACTCAGAGAGAACTCTGTTTCCTAGCGTAGCCATAACTAGTGACTTTTTTCAATCGATCAGTTCTCTTTTTGTACTGCAGTATGTTGGGTTCAGATTCAGCGACAACAAACTTCCCTGGAAAGATTCCCAGTGGTCTCGATCTACCTAGTGATGTTGCTGCTGAGAAGCATCAGGATAAATTAACGCCCAACTAATTATAGCATGGGTTCCATGATCGAACAGTAACCCTTATATGGTATAAAATAATTGCAGAGGTGGTTCACTGAGAGAATTGTACCTTACTGCAAAAAATTTGTACCAAAATATTCATGTGCTCGCTGTTATTGTAGACAATGTGAAGATTCTTTATTGGTGTAGGCAAAGATTTGGAAGCCGTAGGAGACTTGTAGGCGCCAGTTCATTTTAAGATGAAGTGATGAACGAAATTGATTCATATTTTGAACTCAAGAATGTATTAACTTTCAATGATTGTTGGCTTTTGCAAAAATATAATTTACATGAAACTTGGAGTGACAGTTGGGACGTCGCAAGAAACCCCAATCTTGGTGAGGTTGAAAACCCTATGGATGCCAATTATGGTGAAGTTAGAATAAACTTCACTATGGTAAGAATAGCTAGAAAGGCTACCTTGGTTGGCTAAGCCAATGATAACTAAAAAAAACCTCCAAGAGGAAGAGAAAGCAAATGCTTTAACTTAAATATATTGGATAATGATAAGTGATGATTACAAGGGACAAAGTAAGGTTTTATTTATAGCATTCTAAGTAAAAAAGTAAAACATATCTCTCCATGGGGGACAAACAAAAAGTCAATATAATTAAAAATTTCTTATTCTCTCTCTCTCTCTCTGTCTTTGTCTCTTTTTTTTTGGTTTATGCTCCCGCATCATTCTTCTGGGATTGGAAGAGACTCGCTATCGAGTTCCAGTTCTTCATCTTGTTCTTCATAGTAAGGAGATAGATTAGCAATATTGAAAGTAGCAGAAACTCCATAATCTCCAGGGAGCTCAATCTTATAAGCATTATCATTGACACGTTACAAAATTCGGAATGGTCCGTCAGCTCAAGGAGACAACTTCGTATGCGACTTAGGGAAACACTCATTCCTTAGATGAATCCACACTAAAGTCTCATTTCTTGAATTTAGTCGGCCTTCTGTGCTTGTTGGCTTGTTGTTGATACTTAGCATTATGACGAAGAATCTTCTCTCGAACCTCTTCATGAAGCTTCTTGATCTGTTTGGCACACCTATCAACATCAACACTGAATTCACCAGTAGTGGGTAATGGCGGAAGATCTAAAGGGCTAAGAGGACGTTTGCCATATATGACTTCAAAGTGACACTTTCCTGTGGTTTGGCTTATAGAACTATTGTAAGAGAATTCTGATTATGCTAATACAAGATCCCATTGGCGAATATGTTTCCCTACAAAGCTTTGCAATAGATTTCCCAAACTTCTGTTGACTACTTCAGTTTGACCATCGGTCTGAGGGTGGCTGGCTAAGCTGAATTGTAAGTGCGTTCCCATTTTTCTCCATAAAGTCTGCCATAAATGACTCATGAACTTGACATCTTGATCTGAGGTGACGGTCTTTGGAATTCCATGAAGATGCACAATCTCTATGAAGTATAAATCAGCAATGTGAGAAGCATCATCAGTTTTGTGACATGACACAAAATGGGCCATTTTAGAAAGCCTGTTGACGACTACCATCATAACGTCTTTTGCCTTTGTGTCCTTGGCAAACCCACAACAAAATCCATGCTCACATCTTCCCAAGGAGCTTTGGGAATGGGTAAGGGTTTATATGCACCAGTATTTTGATTTCCAAGCTTGGCAATGTGGCAAATGTGACACTTTCGGATGTGGCGGATAGCATCTCGTTCCATCTTGGGCCAATAAAATTTTTCCTTCACAAGAGCTAAGGTTTTGTCTCTACCAAAGTGCCCAGCTCATCTGCCATTATGAGCTTCCCAAAGGATAGACTGACGTAGAGAACACTGGGGAATGCATAATTGGTTGCCCTTGAAAAGATACCCATCTTGATGATGAAATTGCTTGTAAGGCTGCAAAGAACTAGACTTCCAGATGTTACCAAAGTCAAGATCTTCTTCATATAATTCTTTCACAACTTCAAAACCAAAAACCTTCAATTGTAGGGTGGAAAGTAAAACATGACGACAACTTAAGGCTTCGGCTACCTTATTTTGTACACCTGATTTGTGTTTCAGAAGAAATGGAAATGCTTGAAGAAACTCACTCCAATCTGCATGATGACAGTTGAGTTTCTGTTAGGAGTTGAGATGCTTGAGGGCTTCATGATTGGAATATAAGATGAATTCTTTTGACAGCAAGTAGTGGCTCTATGGTTCAAGGCCTGAACAATGGCGTAAAACTCTTTATCATAGGTAGAGTACTTCAACTTTGTATCATTAAGTTTCTCACTGAAGAATGCAATTGGTCGCCCTTCTTAAGAAAGTACAACACTAATACCAACATTAGAGGCATCGCAATCAGCTTCAAACACTAGGTCGAAGTTAGGTAGGGAAAGCATAGGAGCCTTAATGAGCCTTTCTTTGAATTCCTCAAAGCTCTGTTGTGCCTTGGCATTCCATGTAAAACTATCTCCCTTGAGGCATTCAATGAGTGGGGCAACAATAGAGCTAAAATTTCTAATAAAACACCGATAAAAAGAGGCCAACCCATGAAAGCTTTGCACATCATGAAGGGTTTTCGAAGTGGGCCAACTGATAGCAGCTTCAACTTTGCTCTGGTTCACTTCAATTCCTTGGATGGAAACAACATACCCCAGAAAGACAACTTTGTTTGTTAAAAACTCTCATTTCTTCAAGTTGACAAATAGTTTTTGCTTCCTAAGCACTTCAAGGATTTATCGTAAATGCTCCAGATGGTCTTCAAGGTTTTGGCTATATACCAAAATATCATCAAAATATACCACAATAAACTATCCAATGAAAGGGCGAAAAACCTGATTCATGAGGTGCATAAAGATGCTGAGTGCATTGGAGAGGCCAAAAGGCATGACTGTCTATTTGTATAGCCCATTGCGAGTTTTGAATGCAGTCTTCCATTCATCCCCAACCCGCATTCAAATTTGATGATAACCACTTCGTATGTCTATTTTGGAAAAAACAGTGGCTTTATGCAACTGATCCAGCAAGTCATCAAGCCGAGGAATGGGGAAACGATACTTGATAGTAATTTTGTTTACAACACAACTATTGATGCACATACGCCAAGTCCCATCTTTCTTTGGAACTAGTAAAGCAGGGATTGCACATGGATGGACACTTTCTCTTACTAGGCCTTTCTCTAAAACTGCTTAACTTGGCGTTGTAGCTCTTCATGTTCTTTAGGATTCATGCAGTATGCTAGTTTATTTGGAATGACAGAGCCAGAAATGAAATCAATAGCATGTTGAATATCTCGTGTTGGTGGCAACCCAGGACGTATCTCATCCGGCACAACATCAGAAAATTCTTGAAGTAAGTGCTTGACTTCCTTGGGCAAGGCGAGAGACACTTCATTTTCTTCGCACAATAGTAACAAACACACTTGGTTTATTTCCTGACAAGCTTTCTCAAGACCAGATCTCGTGATAAATGCTATAGGCTCATATGGTTTCTTCAAACGATTTTCTTGTCTCATAGGGGTCAACATTACCGTTACCCCATCCTTTTTGAAAGAATACGTGTTCTTGTATCCATCATGAAGAGCTTGATGATCATACTGCCATGGGCATCCCAATAATAAGTGGCAAGCATCCATTGGAACAACATCACACCAAACTTCATCTTGATACTTATCCCCGATGGAAAATTGAACACAACAATGCTTGGACACCTTGACTTCGTTTCCTTTCCTCAACCATTGCAGTTTATAAGGATGAGGATGTGCTACGATTGGGAGCTTTAATTTCTCTACCATATAATTGGCAATAACATTTTCACAGCTACCTCCGTCAATAATGACGTTACAAACTGTAAGAATTCATGCTTAGAAAGGGTAAAATTAGTGTAAACATGGTAAAAGGTCATATGACATGTTATTGAAACTAAAGGGTAAAATTATTACCTTTTATGCTTTACAACTCTTGTAACTTGAAAAGGAGTTCAAGATCTTCAACAATTTGATGAAAACTCTCAAAGTAAAGTCCACCACAAGATGAAGAAAAGAGAGTCCGCCATGAGAGCTCAAGAGAGAGATTTTCAGTCAAATGAAAAATTATATTAAATTTGGGAATATCACTTATTTGTATACAAGGACCATTTTGCTATAATTTGAAATTGTTCTCAAGTCCTTGAATTAATATGAATCCTATATTAACACTTAATATAAATTCAATATTATTTTCAAGTCCTTGAAATAATTTCAATTTAATATTAACTCTTAATATTAAATCATTATTGATCCTAAGTCCTTGAAACAATTTCAATTTAATATTAACTCTTTAATATTAAATCCTTGATTTAAACAAATTTATAATCAAGACATATAAAATAATCCCGTTTAATATTTAATACATTATTAAATCCAATTCAATAATATATTTTAGTCCATCATTGAATCTAATCCAATAATGACCAAATTACCTTATTACCGTTGGTAAGTGCTAGCTTCCATGAGTAATCATTTCTTACTAATACATAAATTTGGATGCACACGTTTACATCTGAACATCATTAACCTTTAACGATATTTATTACTCTCTCTTCTCATACTTGGTTTTTTAGGTGTAACCACTTAGGTTCACTGTAACCTAGCCGTGGGCTCGATATCACAATCTGATATGTTTCATCATAATTCTTTATGATCGAAACTCTCACCAATCATGGTAAGCATCTAATAATGCTCCATAACCCCTAAGCCACAATGAAGTTAAACTCCAATGAACCTTTTTTTTTCTCGATCGTACGTTTTATGTAGTAAAATCCCTTCGTTGTCTAATCCCGATTAAGTATAGGTTCATGGTATGTCAAAACCCTTAACTTTATCTTTCTCCGAATTGTCAATCAATACAATGGAACGTGTCATCATGAAACTTCTTTTTTGACTATTTTGTACTTCGGCCAAATATTTCATTGTTCTAATGTTTATTGACATTCGTCTGGGAACTCGGGACCAAGCCATTTCGAGTCAACGGATCCCATCTTGACCATCATTTGTCCTTGCACATGAATAACATATGACCAAACTGGCTTCTTATACAAAACATGACTAGTCTCGTGTATATACACCATATGAATCATATACATCCTATGTCGAGTCCAACCATGATGTCTCAAGTCTAAGGATTAGTGGTACACTAGTACGATTCTACGATGTATCATTGACCACATTCTAAATGTCCATGTGATTCATCGTAATCAATCATATTCGATAAACAGTTCACTAACTGTTTGTCCATGCTA